GAATCATATAATGTTTATATGATATCATATGATATTGGTTACACAGTGTTGATCTACAATCTATTTTATATGAATTCGGAAATATTGATCCTCTACCCTTAAGAAATATAGTAACAAATGCCGTTAATTTGGCAAAGGATTCATATTCTAATAATATAAGAGCACAAAATAAAGTTCTTGCTGTTTCTTTACAGGTTAGTTATAAAATATAAAAGAATATTTGTTATAGCAGATGATGAGTGGTGCCTTTTATCAGTAATAAGCTTTTGAACCTGTGAGAGTTAGCCTGTGGAGTTTTCTATTCAACATGATATTTTAGATTCAACTCTAAAAAGCATGAGGTTACTCTGGGTATTCGATGCCTGCTAGTACTGAATTCAACTTCATCAATGCATGGGGTGCTTTGGTTTTCGTTTTACAAGTTTTAAAAGCTTACGTGTAGAAAACAAAGTTGCTTACAATGTGTAGGCCACACAGAGATAGCAACTTTGTATATATTTCTGATGACACGAGCTCGTGATTTTTTATTAGATTATTTTATCGATAACTAATAAAATAATATTTTTTTATGCACTAGTTCGACATTGCCTTTGAAGGTGTTTGTAGCCTTCGTAATATCGAAGCAGAAAAAGAAATTGAGCAAATCAAGAAAAATATTAGAAAATTAAAAGAAAAACTTAAAGTATATATCATCAATATTAATATATTTAATGAAATTATCTAAGATAAATCTATTCTGTATTTATAAACTATTTTAGGAAAAATCTTCCTCATTTGCTATAGAAATCTATAAATATTTAGATAGTGTAGAGCTTGATAATCTAAAATGGCAAAATCCATTGGCCAGCCAAGTGATTACCGATGAATTTGTGCAAACTTTATCTAAGAAGTCCGGAGATGAAAATGTTTATAAGAGTTTCAAAGAGCCATTAAATCGTATACGAATAGATGCACTATCCAATATTAGGGAGATATGTAATGTATTTATTGAAGATTTAGCAAAGATGAGATTGAGATCCTTCCACCAAAATATCTACATAACCATACTTGGAGACAATCAAGTGAAGAATTAGCTAACATCACTAGTGAGATTTTAGAATCTCTAAGCGATATCTGGAGAAACCCTGCATTTGAAGCCAATATTGCAAAAACACAAAGCGAAGGAACTTAGATGTAATCGTTCCTTTACTTCGAGCATCATTAAAAAAACTTCTAATTAGAAATAACGCCTTTCTTAGCATGTAAGATTTCTTCTTAGTATGTATATACTACTATAATATCTTTCTAGTCTTATAATTTATTTTTTAATTTAGTGCAGAGCGTCAAAGCCAAGCTAGTGCAGATAGGAAAGGTGGGGAAAACAAGGATAAACGACCCAATATAATGCTTATAGAAGAATATAATGGTAAGTTATATGAACTTATATTTGCAGAATATTCCTGATTAATATGTTCTAAACGAAAAGAAGACGATGATAAAATAAAACTATGGCAGGAGATGAATGATGGGCTTTATTGGACTTATAGTAGGTGCATGCCCAATAAAAATCAATTTGGGGTTATCGGAGTGCAAATAGCCGGGGATACGTTGCATCTTAAGATTATCATTAAAGACATGGATGATATCTACTGTCTTTATAATTTATATTCAGTTAAAATTCCTGTAAGATCAACTAATGGTGAAGACATATTTCGATTTATAGAGGCCCTTTTAAATTTAAGAAATATTATAATTACAAACATGTCGTTATTATACCATTCCGCTGATGTTAGATCCTAACGACTTAGAAAGCGAAGTTCAAATGTATCTACCCCTCCACCATAATTGTTATTTTATTTTATTTCATATTAATAAAGCTGGCTCGATTTCATATCTATAATCGCATTTACTTTGCATGTGTGAATTTCGTGAATTTATTTTATTGTATTGATATCTATGTATATTAACTCGCATATGATCAGATTTTTTTGTAACTTTGATCGTGAACATTGTTCACAGTTTTTTATATTTGTTACTCAACTCCACATAACAATGCTACGAAATACACTATATGGGATTCTGTCTCGCTGCTCACGTGGTCTATAACCAGTTCCTAGTATTGTAATTGCTTATGGCAATGATACTGGCTACCCATCTGGGCTACTAAACCTTACCTAAACACAAAAACCCTTACTTAAACACAAAAACCCAACCTAGTAGTGGGCGG